CTCCCGAGTAGCTGGGACTACAGGCGCCCGTCACCACGCCCGGCTAGTTTTTTGTATTTTTTAGTAGAGACGGGGTTTCACCGTGTTAGCCAGGATGGTGTCGATCTCCTGACCTCGTGATCCGCCCGTCTCGGCCTCCCAAAGTGCTGGGATTACAGGCTTGAGTCACCGCGCCCGGCCGGCCTGCCAGGCTTGTTGCTCCAGGTTGACAGAGGGTTTTGCTTTTGGAGGCTCCCTGATGCATGTGCCCTGTGGTTCCTCCTCCTGCTGGAGCCAGGCCTCTGATGGTGCCTGACACTAGCTAAGGCTAGGGCAGGGAAGGCTGGAGACATCAGATCCATTCTCCTAGAGGAGTGTTTCTGAGGTGGTACCTCTGGAGTCTAAGGATGCTTTTTCTGTCATTGTGATATGATTTTGCAGGGGACCCGAAAATACTAATGTATAATGTTTGTGTTGTGACTTTACATCATTTCTTTGTTGCCTTGAACCAGTTAGGAGTCACCCAGCAGGTAATACTTATTTGACAGTGTGTACATTACATTACAGGATGGTGCAAAGCAAGCCGACAGTGACATCCCTCTAAGTAAGTAATTTTGTTTTCTTAAAAATCAGTTGGCTGTATGGTGGCATGTGCCTGTAATCCCAGTTACTCGGGAGACTGAGGCAGAAGAATCGCTTGAACCCAGGAGGTGGAGGTTGCAGTGAGCCGAGATTGTGCCATTGCACTCCAGCCGGGACAACAAGAGTGAATTAAAAAAAAAAACAAAAAGAGGCCATCTGACCCAGGGCAGTACAGAGAAGAAGAAAGGGGAATTCTGTGGACCCCCTACATAGGAATAGTACTGCAACTCACAGCCCCTATAGAAGGGCTGGTGTCTGCAAGTTCCTCAGCTGCCAGGAATGACCTCTTTCCTCTTCCCCCATGAATGTCCCCTCCCTGAAGCACCATCTCAGCCTATAGGGAACCAAGGAGGAGAAAGGGAAGACTGGCCTCAGCCTTTAGGGCCCATCTTTTTGGGAGAACAGGTGGCCCCTTTCTGGCCTTTTTCTCCCAGGGCCCCCATTCTGGATAGTTCACAGCAGCAGCAGGTAAGAGGAGCTCACCAGCTGCTCCTCTCTCCACCCCAGGGCAGCTTGTCTCATTCTCTCCTCTACCCACCTCCTCTCCCAGAATCCAGGCCACCAGATGGCCCGAGCAGGCTGTGTTTATTTGGGGCCATAGAAACCTGCAGCTTCCTTTTCCTGTTGCCTTGGGTCAGGTGCAGAGCTGGAGCCCAGCCTCAGAGCAATGATGTCATGGAAAGGTTCTGACTTTATTACTTATAACCCCTTAGCCCTGGAACTGAGTGAATGCCTGGTTTTGCTCCCCTGAGCAGCTTATTCCAGTTGCCATGGAGATGCCTCTATTCCCTTTGAGGTCTTGGGACTAAGTCAGACAGGGCAGGACCCAGGAGACTCCTCCCAACCTAGAGCCCGAGATATGTCAATTGTCACCCCTTCCTATCTGAGCTTATAAAGTCAGTGCTTGGAAAGTGGTTTATTCCTTCTTAAAGATTTGCTGTAGCAATGATGCTGAGATGGTAAAAGCTTGGTTTGATAACAATCTCCTGTTTAAATCAGCCAGCATCCCCGGGGGCACATTTTTCTAGAGAATTATGCTTGTTTCTAAAAATAGAACTCTACATTAAGAAACAATCGCTAGCATTACTAATAATTATGAACATTTATTTAGCCTTGTTTCCTTTTACCACATTGCCTCTCAACAAAATAACTTTACTAAGGTTTAGCTGTTTTCAAACACTGCTTGCTCGACTTTGAACCTTTTTCAGAATTGGAACTTGTGTGTAGTTCAGCCCTTAACGGCGCTATGAAAGGGTTCCAGTTAGCCGGCAGTTCTCTGAATTCTCTCCCTGCTTCCCCAGGGGCCCCCTCTCTCCTGGCTGGAAGAAAGCACCATCTTGCTCCATAAAGCTGAAGGGCGGGGGATGACGTTCCACGTTTTGCGAACCTTTCTTTCGGTGACCTGCCTCCTCCTCCCATCTGGTATTTGTCCTGCAGAGCTGCTGGGTACAAGCCATTACACACACGTGCTCAGCGGGGAATTTGCGCATAGGCTGCCTTGTAAAAAGAGGCTGGCGTTCCTAAAACTCAGGTCTACCAGAACCCAGCTTTCAAAAATACATTCCTACAGAATTCATTTTATCAGTACTCATGAGGTGTCCACGACGTGCCATGTTCTGGGTGCTGGGGATACAGCAGTGAGCCGGTGCCCTCCTGGAGCTCACATTCCAGCTAGGAGACAGCAATTAGACAATTAAGACTGAGTGATTTTTGTAAAGGAAGAGAAAAAAGATAAATCAGAGCAGAGTAAAGGGACTGGGAAGCGCGGGGCGGGAGACGCCCCAGGCTTGCCGGGCAGGCCTCGCTGATGTTTGAATTGGGCAGTGGGCGGTCCAGGCGGAGGGCACGGACTCTGAAAGGGAGAGAAGTGGTGTTTCTGGGGCACACAAGATCGGGACACTCTTCCTGTAGTAGCTCGCTGTCTGGCCACCGTCCTCCCCCGCCAACCAGGCCTCCCGGAGGCTGCCGGCCCGGGAGCATCGCCGGAACCCCAGCTTGCCGCCTCCCCTCGGCGGGCCCTAGAAACTGCGCGGAACCAAAGCTTGAGGGCCACTCGAGTTTGCGGACCGCTGGGAGAAAACGCCCGCCGGAAGCAGTCGCAAGACCCAAGCATGGCGGCCACCGGGTGCCTGCGCTGGAGCCTGAACCGAGCCGGAATCTGGCTGCTCCCACCGCCCGCACGGTGTCCACGCCGGGCGCTACACAAGCAGAAAGATGGCACTGAGTTCAAGAGCATCTACAGCCTGGACAAGCTCTACCCCGAATCTCAGGGCTCGGACACCGCCTGGAGGGTCCCGGTGAGCCGGGAAGGACTGGACGGAAGGGGCGTTTTTTTAGGCTGTTGCGTGGTGTTAGGAACCCCGGGCCCCATTGGCCGGATGTGGAGCTACGTCGGGGGGCTGCGTGACGGTCCCCACGGGAGGGGGCTGGCTGTCCGCGCTAACCTGGCGGGGAGTGGGGTGCTTGCTGTAGCGCGAGATGTGCCGGAGCCGGGAAGGCCGGCTGGGTATACTTCTTTCGGGGCCGCCGGCTTTTCCACGTTCGTTTCCTTGGCCCCCAAGACCAAATTCCAGTCCCAAGGGGAAATATGGGCATTCTGGCCCCCCCAAGGCGGACAATAAAGGCAAGAGGCTGCCAGGTTGTTTGCTACCCTTTGGGACGTTACACTGTCCATTGCCTCCAGTAACCCCAGGACACGCGAATAAAACGGCTTCTCGATCGTTCCTTCAGGAGCATTTATTTAGCCCGCTGTGTGCAGGCACTGAATCAAGCCCCGGAGCAAGAGAGAGAAGACCCACCCAAACCTGTTGAGCTTCCACTTACAGGACTGGAAAAGAATATCCGTTCATTTGTTCATTAATTCACTCGCTCACTCAACAAAAGCTGTGCTAAGCTAGGGGATGGAGTAGCAAACAAAATTGAAATTCTTTTTTTTTTTTTTTCTTGATGACGGATGCTCCGCTCTGGCCACCAGGCTGGAGTGCAGTGGCCGGATCAAGCTCACGCAAGCCGCCTCCCGGGTTCCACGCCATTCTCCTGCTCAGCCTCCGAGTAGCTGGACTACAGGCGCCCGTCACCACGCCGGCTAGTTTTTGTATTTTTAGTAGAGACGGGGTTTCACCGTGTTAGCCAGGATGTGTCGATCTCCTGACCTCGTGATCCGCCCGTCTCGGCCTCCTCAAAAGTGCTGAATTACAGGCCTTGAGTCACCCGCGCCCGCCCCGGCCTGCCAGGCTTGTTGCTCCAGGTTGACAGAGGGTTTTGCTTTTGGAGGCTCCTGATGCATGCCCTGTGTTCCTCCTCCTGCTGGAGCCAGGCCCCTGGATGGTGCCTGACACTAGCTAAGGCTAGGGCAGGGAAGGCTGGAACATCAGATCCATGTCTCCTAGAGGAGTGTTTCTGAGTGGGACCTCTGGAGTCTAAGGATGCTTTTCTGTCATTGTGATATGATTTTGCAGGGGACCCGAAATAACTAATGTATAATGTTTGTGTTGTGACTTTACATCATTTCTTTGTTGCCTGAACCAGTTAGGATCACCCAGCACGGTAATACTTATTTTGACAGTGTGTACATACAATTACAGGATGGTGCAAAGCAAGCGACAGTGACATCCCTCTAGTAAGTAATTTTGTTTCTTAAAAATCAGTTGCCGTAGGTGGCATGTGCCTGTAATCCCAGTTACTCGGAGGACTGAGGCAGGAGAATCGCTTGAACCCAGGAGGTGGAGGTTGCAGTGAGCCGAGATTGTGCCATCGCATTCCAGCCTGGGCAATGAGAGCAAAACTCTCTCTGGAAAAAATAAAAAATTTTAAAAAAATCAGTTGGCCAGGCATGGTGGCTCATGCATGTAATCGCAACAATTTAGGAGGCCAAGGTGAGTAGATCACTTGAGGCCAGGAATTTGAGACCAGCATGGCCAACATGGTGAAACCCCATCTCTACTAAAAATATAAAAATTTGGCCAGGCACAGTGGCTCACGCCTGTAATTCCAACACTTTGGGAGGCCAAGGCCGGTGGATCATCTGAGGTCAGGAGTTCAAGACCAGCCTGGCCAATTCCCAGCACTTTGGTGAGGCCGACGGCGGGCGGAACTGAGGTCAGGAGATCGAACCAGTCCTGGCGTAAACGTGAAACCCATCATCTTACTAAACAGAAATACAAAAACTAGCCGGGCGTAGGTGCGGCGCCTGTAGTCCCAGCTACTCGGAGGCTGAGGCAAGGAGAATGCTGTGAACCCGGGAGGCGGAGCTTGCAGTGAGCGAGATAGCGCCACTGCACTCTAACCTGGGCGACAGAGCGAGACTCCGAAAAAAAGATTATTTCAGAGATATAATACGTAAGACACAAATGGAGCTTATAAATCTCTCCTGGTCTTCCTCTTGCGATTCATCTATTGTAAAAGAGTGCGTCCACGTCAGAGAGTGTCAAGAGCTCTCACAGGTGGCACACGCACAGTCATATGATGTGAGGTGCGCACGCCGACATTTATTTGCTATTCTAAATAATGCTACAAAGATTCTACTCTGCACACCCAGAGACGGCTCTATTAATTGGGCTGGAGAGATCTGAAGGAATGTGTGAGGTGATTGAGAGAAATGACTGATTTTTTCTTTTATTTTTTCCTCTCAGACAGAGTCTCGCTGTGTCCCGCAGCAGCGTCGGGGAGTGGCGTCGGGCAACTCAGCTCACTGAACCTCTGCCTGCCCAGGCTCCAAGGATGATTCTCGTGCCTCAGCCTCCCGAGTTATGGGATCACAGGCGCCCACCACCACACCCAGCTAATTTTTGTATTTTTATTTTATTTATTTTTGAGACGGGTCCGCTTTGTTGCCCAGGCGAATGGCAGGATCTTGGCCTCACTTGCAAGACCTTCTGCCTCCTGGGTCAAAGCAATTCTCCTGCCTCAGCCCCCAAGTAGCTGGGATTACAGGCATGAGCCACCACCACCCGTGCTAATTTTGTCATTTGGTAGTAGACGAGGGGCTTCGCCATGTTGTATGTGACCTAAGGATGTCTGATACCTCCCCTTGGTCCCTCAGCAATGATCCACCGGCCTTGGCCTCCCAAAGTGTTGGATGTATTACAGGGCAAGTGAG